TATTAATCGACGGAGAAAATATTCTTAATATATGCGTAGGTGAAAGCAAATAAGCTTTTTTTCCTATTTAAATAGATTGTATTACATGAGCCAAAAGCAAGCACAAACATTTTCAATAATGTTCTGTTTAAGAATGTATTTGATCGTATCCCTCAGTGTAGTCGTTAACTTATGCTGTGGACAATATTTTCCCTTATTACCAAGTCACATGCTTCCACCTGCTGGCGTCACTCATACTTATACGGTTCGTACTATAGTCACTTCTGATGGATGGCGCGAAGAAACAACAGGTATTTTGGCTCTCCGAATGCTTGTAAACCCTTCTGGTAATGGATATGCAGTCTGGACTTCGAGTAATGTCCGTGGTACAGATGCCATAGGATATGGCGAATATTATTCGGACGGTGGATATGCGATGGTTCAGATACAAGAAGATGATTGTATATCTGTCGATCTTAAATCTATACGTGTCAATTGTACAGAGTGGATACCAGTCTATTCATTCGCCTACAAAATTCGATGTATTACTGATGAAGTAGATGTGACATCCACGCTGTACGCTCAGAGTACAGATCCTAATTCGCCTGCTCGCATGACAACGTTACTGAACTTGCCGGACTCTAGTACCGTCAAATCAGTACTAGACTTTTTGAATAAAACTGAATCACGTCCATTTCCTAACGTTGTATTTTGCTGAGCTAGATTTTGGTTATATCATAACCAAAATCTATATTTTCTCCATTGTTTATCTAACGTTTTAACCAATAAAATATGACACGATTGATTCTATGCAGGTTTTTATTAAAAGAAAATTTCTCACCAATGTAAATATATGATCATCGGTCGGTTAAATTGAGTATTACATGTAGATTTTTAGTCAAAAAAGCTGTTAGCGCAATCCCTTGCGGGATTAAAAATGTGAAACACGATGTAGTTGCTATAGCCAATGTTCTAAAACCTGTTGTTTTTTATGCATACTGATATACATTTTTCATAATGGTTTATCTTACAATATAGACTTTCAACAGGATAATACTCAATATATGCTTCAATCATATGTGAGTTATGCATCATTTCTGATATTTCC